GGGCATAGAGGAGGACGGAAGAGAGAGAACAGAGAGAGGCCAGATGAGTTCCACAAAACCCAAACTCAGCCAAGGAAAGGAAAGCAGCAAACAAAGCCGGCCAGGGCTTTCGCATGGGATGGCTTCTTCTAGCTCCACCCACTTTCCCTAGTCCCTCCCCCTTTCTTAGCTCCTCCCACAGTGTCATTCAGGATGTCTAAACTTTGTGACACGCATGGCCACGCTGGCACTGTGTGTGTGTGTGTGTCCTTGTGTGCACCTGCGGGCGTGGCTGTTGTGAGGGGACACGTGTGCAGATGTGGGGGCTGCGTGTGCCCGCGTACACGACGGCCGTTGTGTCTCTCTGCGTGTGCGGAGGTGTTTGCAGTGGTTGTGCACCGCTGTGCACACAAGTACGTGTGTGTGTTTGCATGGCCAGAGGTGCGTACACCTGTGTGTGTCTCACTGCTCAGGCCTGTGCCAGGTATAACTGACCCAGGACCACCGCTGTCTCGACGCCACGGCTGTCAGCCGGCCACCACGTCGGCGCTGGTGTGTCGACCCCACTGACCGGACCCCAGAGGGAAGCAATAGACGCCTGACACAACCTGGCCAGCAGAGGGCAGTAGGCCCCAGGCTCAGGTGCAGGAAGGCCCTGCAGCGGGGATCCCCCCAGCCCTGCCCCTCACCTCGTTCTCGGAGGAGCTGGCGGACAGGAAGACCTCGCAGGCGTCGAAGAACTCGGTGTGCGAGTCCGAGAGCGAGACGATGCTGCGGTTGGACAGTTGCTGCTCCCGCCCCTTGGCCAGGTGGGCATCAGGCTGCGAGGGGGGAGAAGGGAAGTCACCGCAGGGGCGAGACCAGGGGGCACCTGGAAGGACTAGGCTCCCCATGGCGGGGCGGGTTTGCTCCCCCCGGGGAACCAGGAGCAGCAGGACTGGCTCGAAGGTGCAGCGCTAGAGAGACACCCCCCCGTCCAGAGGGGACTGGACAGCCATCTGCGGGGCGATTCAGTGCAGCACGGCTCCATTGATGGCCCCAGCAGCGACCCACAGGTGCCGCCCACCCCAGCGTGAGAGGGAACGGAGGGGGGGGGCTTCCTCCGTCATCCGATCCTGATTTCCACCGAGGGGCACGAACCCCTCGTCCCCTCCCCTCCACCCCGCCCCCGAGGGCGCCTGACCTCGTCCGGGTGCAGCGAGGTGAACGAGGCGAGCGTGGCGTCGGAGGAGATGGAGAGGGAGTGGAAACGCCGCAGATACTCCGTGTGGTCCGGGTTGTGCGAGGGAGCCTGGGCCGGGAGGAGACAAGGGAACGCTGAGGGGGGCGAGGGGGGGCGTTCCCAGGAGCACATCCCTTCCTTCCTCCCCACCCCCCGAGGCTGGCCCAGCACCCCCACCGGGTTCTGCTGGGCTCTGCTGATCACAGGTGCACAGCGTAGCCTTCCCCCCCCTCAGGCGAGAGCGCCGTCACCCAGCCAGGCCTTGCACAGAGCCACCCAACGGTCCATACGTCCAGTCGCTATGGCCCCACGCGGGATTCGAACTCGGGACCCAGAGCTTCTCCGTCTCGTTAGCTAGCGGGACCTCCATGGTGGCGGGTGCCTGGGCGGGGGGTGGAGGGGGAGTGCAGGATCTTCTACCCGGCGACTCCCGCTCCAGTCTAGACGCCGGCTAACCCGATGCCTACAAGCGCCTGGGTCTTTGTCCCCCTCTAGTGGCCGCAGCCTCATCCTTCAGCTCAAGCGCCAGCCGCTCACGCGTCACAGCCAGAGCGGCCGGGTTCAGGTCCCCGCTCGCCACCCACCCAGGGGGGCAAAGCTGGGGTCGGGCTGCAGCTCCCCGCGGTGGCAGATAGGGAGGGCACGGCGCGTGGCCCACGCGCACCCGGTGCCTTACCCCGGCCGCGGCTGCGTTCCTGGCGCCGCCCGCCCGGCGTTGCAAATCCAGCGCCCGCCGCATCTCCTGGAGGCGATTCCTCTCCGCGGTCAGCGCGGCCACCACGCTGCTGAGGGACCCGTGCACTAGAGAAGGGGTCGGGACGGGGGGGGACAAGGTCAGGCTGCCCCCCACGTTCACCCGGCGCTGAGCTTTGTCTCCCCCCAGTGGCTGGACCAGGGAAAGCGCTTTGCGCGTCTCCCCGGGCGGTGGCGGCTTGTGCCCTCCGAGCAGCAGGTCCCATGGCCTGTCCCCACCCCCCACTCCCAACCCATCCCACCTTTCTGGGCCAGGATCCAGAAGCTCCTTTGCAGCTGGCTGTACTCCGGGGGGAGACTGAAGGCCGGCTGGCTCTGGCTCGACTCCAGGTAGCGCGAGAGGTTGGGGACGGAGCCATGCAGACGGCCCACCTGTGGGGGCACGGAGCAGGGGAGGGTTAGATCCCCCCCTTTCGTACGTCAGCATGACCTCTGACCCCCCAAGGGGCTTAGCGCCGTCCTCAGAGCCCCCCCCCCCACCCAGCCACTAGGCCGCGCCTCTGCGGTGAATCTGGCTCGGGCGGGGCTCTCCCCCTGACTCAGCACCACATGGGATCTGGGCTCTCGTGGCCACACCTTGGGGGTCTCCTGCTGTGGCCTCCCCCAGCCCCCTCATTTGCCCGGGGACCTCCCTCTCCTATGGCCGGCTCCAGCCTTCGACCCCAGCAGCGCATGGGGCTGGGGAAAGTCGAAGCGGCAGGCCCCTCCTCCTGCCGACGCCGGAGCCCTCCCCAGGGCCCCGCTCACCCTGCCGATGGTGTCGTCTTTGGCAAAGCTCTGGGTGCACCACATCCTGGTGGTTCGCTTCCCCTTTTTGGGTCTCTCTGCAGCTGCCGAGGTCTGTAACCAAGAGAGAGCATGAGACCCCCCTGGCAAGAGGGGAAGGAACCACGGATTGGAGGGGGGGGGGAAGGGGCAGAATCAAGCGGCCGGGGGGGCCAGGGAACGCCCCCTGGGGGGAAAATGCAGCTGCCTCTGGGGGGAAGCACGGGGTCTAGTAAACAGCCAGCGGTGCACAGAGTTCGCTCACTAGTGTGAAATGCAGCCGCCTCTGGGGTGAAGCACATGGCCCAGTTAACAGCCAGCGGCACACAGGGATCACTCACTGAGTGTGAAATGCAGCCACCTCTGGGGTGAAGCAGGGGGCCTAGTAAACAGCCAGCGGCACACAGGGATCGCTCACTGAGTGCAAAATGCAGCTGCCTCTGGGGGGAAGCACGGGGCCTAGTAAACAGCCAGCGGTGCACAGAGTTCGCTCACTAGTGTGAAATGCAGCCACCTCTGGGGTGAAGCACATGGCCCAGTTAACAGCCAGCGGCACACAGGGATCGCTCACTGAGTGTGAAATGCAGCCACCTCTGGGGTGAAGCATGGGGCCTAGTAAACAGCCAGTGGTGCACAGGGATCGCTCACGGAGTGTGAAATGCAGCCACCTCTGGGGTGAAGCACAGGGCCCAATTAACAACCATGCTGCACCTGGCTAGTGAATCTGAGTCCCCACTGCCCTGCCCCACCCGCTGCCAACAGCCCCTGGGAAGCTCAGACCCAGGCCATCCATGTGGATGCCTTTGCACCTAGGACCCTGTGCAGAGCCCATCACCATGGATTCAGGGCACGATCCCTCCCCTGCGCTCCCCTTTGCGATCTGGGGCCTTCTCCGCTCTCAGCAATACGGGCACTGATCTCAGCCCTGCCCCCGGCTGCCCTGAAGGGTATCCCTGACACTGAGCTCCCTAGGGGGCCGGCACTGCCCCATAGGAAGGATTCAGCCCCCCCGTTCCAGCCCCCCCACCACCGGCAGTCACCTGGCTGTTGGAGATGAGGGGCACGGACGGGATGCGGTGCAAGGTCTCCAGGCTCTGGAGCATCTTGTCCAGCTCCTGCAGCTTCCCCTGGCACTCGGAGAGCTCTGAGATGGGCGGGGGGCAGACGGGGGCCAGGTACAGAGAGAAACAGGGAAGCAGCCATGGTGAACAAGAGCGGGTTGGTGCCACACTCCCCGCCCCCATCGCTCGGGCAGGGGGACGGGGCACCCAAAGGGCCCCTCGGGTCGGGAGCCACAGCACCCCCGATTTCACACCCCGGCCCCAGCCGTCCCGCCCCACTCACCTGCCGAGCACCTATCCAGCCCCTCGCTGTCCTTCAGCCAGGCGTTCACCTTGTCCCGGGGGCTGGTCAGCGCTGACAGGGCCGGGGCGCCGTCCGACGGCAGGACGCGGTTCCGGGAGCCGTAGCCCTGGGGGACGCAGGGGTAGGGGGGTTAGGGGAGCTCCCTGGGGAAGACTCTGTCCATAGGGGGAGGGGGAGGGCGAGGCCCGGATGCCTGGGTTCCATCTCCCATGACCTCCCTACCCTCACACAGACACCCCCAGTCCCCTCCCGTGCTCCCAAAGCGGATGGGCAGCGCTCACCTGGGCGGGGGGCGGGACTCGCCCGTCCGGGCCCCCCATGGGCGCAGGGCACTTGGGCTTCTCCACCAGGCGGTGGGAGCACAGCTTGGCCACCCAGCTGGTAAAGAGCTCTTGGGATTTGATCTGCAGGAGGGGGAGACCCCAGAGAGTAGGCGGGGGGGGAGAGACGGGACATGTGTCATAGACATCCCCACTCCATAGCCCCGGCCTCCCCGCTCCCACCACCCCCTCCTGCTCTCCCTGTTCCCCAACCCTCTCTCCCCCCCATCACTTCCCTCCCCCAACCCTCTCTCCCCCTACTCCCCCCATCCCGTCTCCTCTCTCCCCGTCCGCCCCATCTCCTCCCTCCCCCACCCTCTCTCCCCATCCTCCCCCGTCCCCCATCTCCTCCCTCCCCGTCCCCCCATCTACTCCCTCCTCCCACCCTCTCTCCCCATCCTTCCCCCATCCTGTCTCCTCCCTCCCTGTCCCCCATCTCCTCCCCCCCTCCCCATCCTCCCCCTGTCCCGTCTCCTCCCTCCCCCCACCCTCTCTCCCCATCCTGTCTCCTCCCTCCCCCATCTCTCTCCCCGGCCGCCCCCATGTCCCGTCTCCTCCCTCCCCCATCTCTCTCCCCATCCCATCCCGTCTCCTCCCTCCCCCACCCGCTCTCCCCGTGCCCAGACCTTGAGGTGGTAGATGTTCTCCTCCGTGTCCAGGTCCACGCGCTGCGCTTTCCTGTTGATGGACATGACGGCCAGACGGACGTCGACGGAGCCGTGCAGTTTGCCCTTGAGGACCTGGAAGGGGCGGGGTTGCAGGCCCAGGTCAGCCGGGGCGCGAACGGGCACTGGGCAGCGCCCGAGTGCATGGGATTCCACCCTCGCGTCTCAGTGCTCCACCCCGCCCACCTCGCCCCACCTGGATCGGGGGAAGAACGGTCCCCAGTGAGAGACCCCCTTCCTAACTGGCCCCACTTGGGGTGGGGGGATGGGGGTGAAATGGGGGCACGATCTATAGGGTTCCCCCTAAACACAGAGTCCTTGCAAGCCAGCTCCAGCACACCCCCCCCAGGCAGACTGATCCAGAGGCCAGGACGGGCACCCAGCCCTGTGCCATACTCACATCCTGGCGCGTGGTGGCGTATTTCAGGATCCCCTCCTCCAGCATGAAGTATCTCTGCGGGAGGAAGAGGAGAAGGAAATGAGGCTGAAGGAGGGAGGAGAGGGCGGGAACGCCAGGGGGCAGAGGGCAGCATGATCTGCCCCCAGGAGCCCAGCTCAGACGCTGGATTCAAGGCGCCTAGAGGATGCCAAAGCACCTTCCAAACGACATCCCAGAATCGCTTCCCCCAGCACTGAAATGCAGCTGCCTCTGGGGTGGAGCACAGGACCCAATTAACAGCCACACTGCCCACGGCCAGCTCACAGAGCCGGAAAATGCAGCCAGGCCTGGGCTGGAAGCTATTGAACAGCGCGTGGCAGTTTAGGACAGGAAGTGAAGGAGAATCGTGAAGCTGCAGGGGGAAATCCCCTGGGGACAGAATGTAACCACCCAAGCTGGGAGCTGACCAAGGAAACCAGGGTCAACCAACGCCCCACGTGCCCTCCATCCCTGGGCTCTGTGACGACGCAGGCAGGGCCTTGCTGGGGCATTGGATCAGCGCCGGCGTGGGGAAGAGTGCCCCCTGCTGGGGCAACGCCCAGAGTTTCCCTTCGCGGTCCCCCAGACGAGGGCAAAGCCCAGGACGAGGCGGCTGGGGATTGAGAGCTCGCCCCAGTCCCCTGCCCCACGAGGGGTCGCCCCCAGCTGCACTGCAAGGAGGCCGTGATGCGACAGCGGGGTGCCGGGTTGCAGAAGGGGGGTGGTTTTCTATCCCCCGCTCCTTCGCCTTCTCACCTTATGCCAGCCCTTCAGGGGCCACTTCCTCTTCTTCAGCAGGTAGCCCTCGTGCCGCTCCAGCTCCTGGCCGGGCCCGGTCCTGCTCCGGGGCTCGTCCACCACCTCCCAGCACTCAGAGCCCTGCAGCACACGGGTGGGGGGGTCTGATTGGGAACGGACAGGCCCCAACGCCGCCCCCCCCCAGGCGCCGAGGGAGGTAACAAGTCGTATAGTAACCCCTGCGCTGCTCCCTCAGTGCCCCTGGGCCGCGCGTTCCTTGGCGTGACCGGGCTGACGGACCACGATCTCTCTGTCTCACACACACCGGCCAGGGCTGTAGGGGTACCAGCGCTGATCGGCACTAGGAAATGGCCGTGCCCTACTGCGGGTCGGAATAGCAGGGGGCTGGGGGCCACATCAGACCTCTTTCCGGTCCCTGCCTTTGATCCAGTTTAAAGCAACATGGGCCCCAGAGAACATCCCTGGCTCCCAAGTCACTGATGGGCAGCGTCAAGCCTCCTCGCTGGCTGGCCCCGCTTTTGTGGGGCAGGGCACCTGGTTCTGGGGCGAGATCTCCAGCCGTCCTCTTTCCCGCTCCCCTCCTGAGGCTCCCCAGAGAGGAGCCTCCCCCGGCCCAGATCTGGTCCCGGGGGCAGGGAAGGGTCTGCTAGGAGCGTCAGCGAGAGGGAGGGGAGATGCCGGACCTGGTGAGCGCTGCTGTGCTTGGAAGACACGGTGCTGTTGGACCTGGACGGCACCCTCCGGGGGGAGGCTGGCTCCTTCTCGTGACTGCCCATGGCCGGGGGCTCCCTCTCGTGAACGGAACGGCCCTCGGTGTCAGGCCACCGCCTTCATCTCCAGCTCCGAGCCCCCCTGTGGGGAGAGAAACCAAACCCCGGCTTGTTACTGCCTGGGAGCGGTGCCGCCGCGGTGACATTGTGACCCGTTTCTTGGAGCTGCAGCTGTCATGAGAACGACAGGCAGGTTCCAGGTTGGGGGCAGACATCTCGATCCCAACCCGCAGCCCCTGCTATTCCAGCGCTCGAACCCGGCCCAGCTCTACCGATGCGCCTCACTCCCGACCCGCAGCCCCCTTCGGTTCCAGTCCGGTTCTGGAATTTGGCCTGGACACTGGAGCGAACACCCTTGCACTTACAAGAAGGGTGACGGGATCTTTAACACATCCACGGTCAAGGGGCTATTTGCAAATTTCTCATCCTGATTGCTTAGGGCTCCGTGGCGTGGAAGCTAAAGCAGATGCAGGATCCCGCCTTCAGAGTTTAGCCAGCCAGGGGCAGACCCCAGTGCCTTCCCTTCTGCCTCACTCTCATTTTGCGAAGAGGTGAGAACTCTGGACCTCTGGCCAGGAAGCACGTACCCCGCTGTACACAGACCTTTACCTCACACGTCCCGCCCGAACAACCATCACCCCTACAACCCCTGGGACTTTTATTTTGCAGGCAGGAGCCTTTCCAAGGCTGGCTTTGGGCTAAAAGCCAGCTTATTCCCATGGAGACCACAAGATCCAGACAGTACTTGATATGGGCCATGTGGCCAAGCCAGCTCTGATCCGCTCAGCTCAGGGTTACGGGTAGTGTCACCTGACTGCACTCGTGGGGCCAGACCCCCCAGCCGGGGTAAATCAGAACAGTTCCACAGTGGCAGATTTACACTCGCTGAGGATCCGGCCCTTTGGCTTTTCTTTTTTGCTCCGAAATGCAAGCGAGAGCTCCGAGGAACGTCGGATCACAGGAGCTGGACCCTTTCGGTCCCGTCTAGGCCAGGGCAGGCTCGGTCCTGACAACACTCCTGCCCCTCTGTCCTGTCTAGCTTTAAGGGTCCCTGGGCACAAAGCTCCCCCACTTCCCTTGGCAGACTGTTCCACAGCCCTAAGAGATCTCACCGCGACGCATAAGGCTTGAGAAGCTCCATCTGCTTGGCACACCGTGTGTAAGCTGCAGCTGAGCAAAGGAACCCCTGGGCTAGGGGGAACTGCCTCCGGGAGAGATGCCGTTAGCTTATGGAAGTGTCTCCATGGTAGGAGGCATGGAGCAGAAGTGCCAGAACTGGAGGCTTGTCTAACTGTGGAGACTGTGGAGAATACCCAGCAGGCCCTGGGGCCCATGGTGATGCACAAAGCTCTGCAAATATCCTGGCGCAAAGGAAAGACAGTCAGAATAGTGAGAGGCCAACAGGGATCCATCAGGAACTCTTTAGTGACCTGGAAATCAAAAAGGGAACCCTACAAAGAGTAGGATCAACTTCTATCCTCTCCTCTTGAGTAGGATCTACAGCCTAGTAGGATGTGGACAAATCGCTCAGGATGAATATAAACTAATGGCACAAGCATGGAGGCACAACAGCGAAAAGGCGAAGGCACAAGCTAAGCGTAACTCATCTAGGAGCATAAGAGACAAGAAGAAGAGGTTCTATAAATACATTAGGAGCAAGAGAATGCCAAAGGGAAGTGTAGGTCCTCAACTTAGCAGGGAAGGGGAGCTAATAGTGGATGGTGACATCAAGAAGGCTGAGGTGTTGAATACCTATTTTGCTTCAAAAAGAACAGGAGGACTTGTGGCACCTTAGAGAACATGTCGGAGAACATGAAAAGGTGGGAGCTTCATCTTCTCTGTATGTGTATCTAGATCTCCTTACTATATGTTCCGTTCGATGCATCCGATGAAGTGGGCTCTAGCCCACGAAAGCTTATGCTCTAATAAATGTGTTAGTCTCTAAGGTGCCACAAGTCCTCCTGTTCTTTTTGCGGATACAGACTAACACGGCTGCTACGCTGAAACCTGTTATTTTGCTTCAGTCTTCACTACAAAGATTAATTGTGAGCAGATACTGAACACAATGAACATTAACAAGGGGGCAGGAACTCAAGCCAGAAGGAGGAAAGAACGGGTTAAAGAACATTTTGGTAAGTGAGATGTATTCAAGCCAGCAGGGCCTGATGAAATTCACCCCACACTACTTAAGGAACTATCTGAAGCAAGCTCGGAAATGTTAGCAAATATCTTTGCTAACTCATAGAGGACAGGTCGGGCCCCAGAGGATTAGAGAAGGCAAACCTAGCGGAAGTCGAGGGGTTTGTGGGCGAGCAGGAGAGGACGCCCCAGTGAGGGGACAGGCCCTCCTCAGCACAGAGGCTCAGCTGGTCCGATCCAGCTGTTGTCTCTCTCCCCTCCCAACCCCCTTTTCGGGTCAGGAGCTTTCGTCTCCTCCCCACGAGGCAGGACACAAGTGTCTAGAGCAGCGATACTCCGACCTCAGGGGGTCTGGAGCCAAATTAACATTATCCAAAAGAGCCCCGGCCCTGGGAATTCATGGCTTCATTAACAACTTGGATACATAATTTTCACAGCAAAATAGACTGACCAAGTAGTCTACAATTGGTTAATAACAGAGGGAAAGCATCCTGATTGGTTAGGAGCTTAGATTGGTTAATAATTAAATCTCACAGGATTTTAATATCATGTGCTGCAAAGAGCCACTTGCAGTTTGAGTATCGCGGGTCCAGATGTATTGGGGGGAGTGTGGGGGGGAATTGCTTGCCGCTGAAGGAGGATCAGAGACGGCCATGGCTGGAGACACCAGACGGGGGGCCGGTGATCCTGTCTTAGCTGCCTGGCTGACTTGCTCAGGGTCAGACTGGTTGCCAGATTTGGGGGTTGTATGGGATTCCCCTCCTCCCCCCCAGAGCAGATTGGCAGGGACCTCATGGGGTGGATTCTCCTTCCTCTGCAGCGCGGGGCGCCAGTCACCCGCTGGGATCGCCTGGGCAGATCACACCTGATCAACTCCCTGCCACGGCAGGAGCCTTAGGCACAGCGACCAACCCTGCGGCGGCCCCTCGGTCTCTGCCTAGGCAGTTTAGTCTCCGGAGGATTGAAATGCGTTAGTCGAACTGAAGTCTTTGGGTTGAATACAGGATGAACATTACTGGCCTGTAGCTGTGCGGAGGGTCGGACTAGATCTAATGGCCCCTTCTGACGGGGTGTGATGCCGCACACGAGCGTACAGGCCACGCCGGGTCAGACCAATGGGCCATCGAGCCCAGCATCCTGTCTTCCGACAGTGGCTGGTGCCAGGTGCCCCAGAGGGAATGAACAGAACAGGGCCATTATCGAGTGATCCATCCCCTGTCGTCCAGTCCCAGCGTCTGGCAGTCAGAGGCTATGGGACACCCAGAGAATGGGGTTGCGTCCCCTGTCCATCTTGGCTAATGGCCACTGATGGACCTGTCCTCCATGAATGGATCTCATTCTTTTTTGAAGCCTGTTCTAGTTTTGGCCTTCACAACATCCCCCGGCAGTGAGTTCCACAGGTTGACTGTCCATCCATCACTGACACCCCCGTTCCCCATGTCTCTGCCTCCTCACCCTCAGAGCCCGGCACCCCGCAGCCAACCCCATGGGGAAGAGGTGGCAGGTGTGGAGTTGTTTCCGCTCACCGGAGCGCTAGGAATCTCCCATCCGCTTCTCCCCGTAACCCTCCTGCTCCCCAAGAAGCCACGACCCAGGGCACCCGGCAGCTGGCAGGATCCCTGCTAACAACCCCGGCAGAGCCCAAGTGGGGACCTGGGGAGGAAGCAGGTCTGGTGAACTTGAGGGAGCATGGTGGGGGAGGGGAAACTCAGCATGTGGCCCTCCCTGTCCTTCTCCTTTGCACCCTCCCTTGGCAAACAAATCTGTGTGTTTCTGCCAAGGGGGGGCGGATGGGTGGGAGGGCTTAACAGGGTTCTACACCTTGCCTTTCCCTGATGCTATGACAACAGGGTCATTCACAAGCCTCAGGAAGGTTTAACCTTTTCAGCACTGGGCATTTCTCAGCTTCCCCATCAGCTCATAGGCCTCTGTGTTTATCCCATTTGCACCCAGAGATCTGGGGAATAGACTACAGATGGGGGAAACTGAGGCACAGAGCGGGGAAGCGACCTGCCCAAGATCACACAGCCAGTGGGTGATGGGAGTCAGAAATAGAATCCAGGGTCCTGATTCTGGCCCCCCGGGCATGAGCCACGACACACAATCCGTCCTTCCCAGAGCTGAAACAGAACCCAGGTCTCCTGACTCCCAGCTCTACTGCTGTCCCGTCCCAACGTCGGGAAAGGAACCCAGGAGTCCTGACTCAAAGACTCCTGCTCTAGCCACTGCAGAACACTCCCCTTCCAGAGTCAGGAAAGGAACCCAGGAGTCCTGACTCAAAGACCCCTGCTGCGACCCCTGCAGCGCACGCTGCCCCCCAGGAAAGCTGGAGACAGTGTTCCAAATCCCCCCTCCCCGAATAAGCCCACAATGGGGAGTAGGAAAGACACAAAGGCAGCAAATGTGTGCCCTGGACACACTGTGGGTGCCACAAACGCCCCCCAAGGAGGATGGGGGCGGGGACTTGCTGGATGGACTGAACAGGTCCCTCCCACACTTCTGAGGACCTCGGGCCAAACTCTCCACCCACCCTGGGATCCTGCCTCCTCCAGCAGCTCCAGGCCCTCTCAGCCATCTCTCCAGGACACCGCGTTCTGCCCCCTCTGATCACCCCCGACACCCACGTCACCCCTTCCCCTCTGCCAACAACCCCCTCCGCCTCCCAGCCCCGGGAAGCACCAGCTGGAATGCCAGGCACAGCCCAGCCACCCACCATTGCCTGCTGCCCCCTCCGCCCCACACAGAGAGCTGCCGTGGCCCCAGACCCCCACCCCTCCTTGCCATCTCTCCTGGCCCACCACTCTTCACTCCTCCACCCCCCATTTTGCACAACCTCCTCTCACCTCTTTCAGTTCAATACCGGGAAGCGGCCTGAGCCCTGGGCCGGGGTCCGTTTGCATGACAGCAGCACCTAGGGGCCCCATTGTGCCAAGTGCCACATGTAATAAGAGGCAGTCCCTGCCCCCAAGGGCTCACAGGCTGAATAGACGAGGGTGGGAGGGGAAACTGAGGCACAGAGCAGGGCTGTGACTTGCCCAGGGTCCCACAGCAAGTCAGTGGCAGAGCTGGGAACAGAGCCCTGACTCCCACTGAAGTCAACAGGAGAACCTCCTAATCACAGGGTATGGGCATCAGGGGGGCCAACACCTACCTCCTCACCCCCAAATATTTCTTAGATACGCTCCAGCTTTTATATCATCTGAAATCTCAGTCACCAAGACCCAGTACACGCTGATCACAAACCCAGATGCAACTCAAACTGGAGGGAAACTGACATTTTCCAAGCAAATTTCTGTTCACTACACAACTTTTTTGTTTTAATGTGATCTACCACGTGAAACATAAAAAGGAGAGTAAATACATATATAGCGCAGAGACTGGCTCAGCAGGGTCCTGGCCCCTGACTGGGGCTCCTTGGTGATATGATAATGCAAATAATAAAATAATAATAATACATTATATAGACAAACACCCATCCCTCGTATAAATTCAGATGAGGCTAAAAAGTACCGAAGTCTCAGGCAGTGAGTCTAATGGTTAGAGCAGGAGACTGGGACCCAAGACTCCTGGGCGCTAGTCCCAGCTCTGGGAAGCAGTGGGGTCTAGTGCTTAGAGCAGAGGGACTCAAGGAACCAGGACTCCTGGGTTCTAATCCCAACTCTGGGAGGAGAGTGTGTTTAGTGGTTAGAACAGGGGTGTCTTGGAACCAGGACTATTAGGTTCTACTCCTAGCTTTGCCACTAACCCACTGTCTCACCTCAGACAAGTCACTCCCGTCCCCCCGTGCCTCAGTTTCCCCCATCTGAAATGGGGATAACGATACTGACCCACCTCAGATGGGATTTTCAGTCTTGACTCCCCAACACCCATGAAGCACTTTGAGATTCCTGAGTAGAAAATGCTGGAGAAGGGCCCAGCGTTACTCTTACACAGGGTGGAGAAAAATGGCTAAGAATCTCTTTTGGCTTCTCTTCCGAGGACAAGTGCAACTTCCCCTTGACAGCTAATGACCTGGGAGCTGCCAGGCAGCCGGGGTTCAGAGTGCAACCTCCATCCTCCCCCGCTACCCCGCCTCATTCTGCTTCCTCGGCATTTCCTACATGTGGCCCGCAGTGACTCAGTACCTATGCAGGCAGCTCATGAGGGCAGATCCCCTTCTTTACCCTCCTACCTTGGGGGTGACCTGCTGCACTCAGCCGCCACATACCTCGCGGGCTGATAATCTGTGAACGGACCACAGGCCACAAAGTCCGGAGGGCCTGGCTCCGTACAGGCGGAGGGAGGGGGTGTTGGAGTCAGGAAACAGGTGCGGTGTTGGGAGTGTGCAAAGATGAGGGAGGACCTGGAAAGGGTTTAAGGGCAGCGGGGGAATGGCAGGGTCCCTTAGGTGTTGTTTTATCTAGAGACCTACCAAAATGAGGCTGAATCTGACAACTCGAGACTAGACCGAGGGCTTTGGTTCCGGGACCAGGCACAGATCAGATTTGCCAAGTGGGTGCTGAAGGCCCGGATTGTGGGAGCGGAGTGCTGGCCCTGAGCTGCTCTGAAAATCTGGCCCCACGCTCCCTTGTCATTCCAATCTATCAGCCCTTCAGGGCCAGGATTGTCTCTTAGCCTGTGTTTGTACAGCACCCAGCACAACGGGGCTCTGGGTGCTACTGTCACACAAACAGCCACAAGACGTGTGTGAATGAACCTGACGAGGCGTGCGCCATGGGGAGGTCCCGTCTCCCCCCACTCACTGTAAATTTCCGCCCTGCCTGCCGCCTCAACGCTACCTATCAGATCTGCGTACCCACTCGGATGTCACCCATCGCCACTGCTAAAAATACCTGAGACGTCTACGGTGCTTTTCAGCCCAGAGGGCTTTGCAAATGAAGTGTCTGAGCCTCGCTTCACCCAGGCATTCTGAAATGCAGCAGCTTCTGGGGTGGAACGCAGCGGCTGCTTAATAGTCACGCTGCCCCACAGTTTTAGGGCAGGAAGGGAAGGAGAAGGCTGTACCCAGGTGAAACTGCAGGAGGAATTTAAGGAGGCAGAATGCAATTACAATTGGGCTGGACAGCAGGGCAACACCCCGGCCCAATAAGACCACTAATAATTGGCCCTTTGCATGTTCAAACCACCGTCTCATCCTCCTTTAGGGCACTTCAGCCAGTATCCTTACCCCCACTTTACAGATGGGGGAAACTGAGGCAGGGGGAAAAAGAAGTGACTTGCCCAAGGCCATTCAGCAAGTTAGCGGCAGAACTAGGAACAGAACCCAGGCGTCCTGGCTGCCTGTCTCCTGCTCTAAACCCTAGTCGGCACTGCCTTCCCCAGCTGAAAATAGAACCCAGGCGTCCTGGCTGCCTGTCTCCTGCTCCAACCCCTAGTCGGCACTGCCTTTCCCCGCTGAAAATAGAACCCAGGCGTCCGGGCTACCAGGACAGCACCCAGCCCACCGGGGTCCCGGTCCGTGACGGGGGCTGCCAGTCGCTACCCACCGCAACTACCCTATTACACACCGGCCCCCCAGAGCTGGGGCCAGCCCCCCCAGCCAGAGCCCCTTCCTGGAGCGGCCTGGAGGGGGGACAGACAGACAGGGACAGACCCCCGCCCATGCCAGCGCAGGGTCCGAGGAGACCCCCCCCCCTGGGCCCCCCCCCCCCAGCCCCAGCCAGCGGGGGGCGGCTCTGCCTCCCCGGGGCGCTGCTCCAGGCAGGACCCGGGAGCCGCCGGCAAGGGAGCCCCGGAGCGGGCCGGGGGCCGGATCCCAGCCGCCCCCCGGGCACGGAGCCAGGGGGGCGCGGCCGGCCCCGCGGGGCGGCCCCTTACCTAGGCGTGCGGGGGCAGCCCCAGCCCCGCGCCGGCCCCTCCGCCTTCGCCCGGCCGCATCTGTGCCCAGCGCCGCCGCGGCTGGCGGCAGGAAGCCGGAACACGGAAGAAAGCGGCAGCGGCTCTCTCGCCCCTAATCCCCGATCGCGGCTCGGCTCTGCCCCCCTGCTCCGTGGAGGACTCGGGAGAGGAACGGGACCGGGACCGGGACCGCGCGGTCCGGACGCGCCCGGTCCAGCCTTCCCGGGCAGGGTCCTGGTCTCGAACCGGGCGCTGCCCGGGCCGGTCGGGGAGGTCTCCGGCGGGGTGCGGTAGCAGTTGGGAGGGGAACAGCTGCAGAGACTCCCCGAGAACCGGCCCCGACAGCCGCAGGTGGCACCGGCGCAGCAGAACCGACCCAAACCCACACCTGACCTGGGCCAACACGGGAGCAAGCGGGAACCCACCCAAACCCTGTCACCTGGGCCAGGACCAGCTCACCAGGGCTGACCCAAACACACAGCCACTCGGGGCAGTACCAGCTCAACAGAATGGACCCCAAAACAGGCGGTCACCTGGGGTACAGGTTTCAGAGGGGGTAGCCGTGTTAGTCTGTAAGAGCAAAACCAACAAATGTAGTTGGGCATCTGATGAAGTGGGTTTTAGCCCACGAAAGCTTATGCCCAAATAAATGTGTTAGTCTCTAAGGTGCCACAAGGGACAAACCGAACATCTTCTCAGTTGCTCCATATTAACTGGCAGGACAAAATCAGCAAAGAGCATATTTGTGGCTAAACCCATCAACCACCTCCATCAGTTTGAGCGGCTGTCTTGATAGAGACCTTTTATTAGCATGAACGAACAAAGGGCAAGGAAGGCCCCTACAGGGCCGGTGACCACATGGGCACCCCAAGCTTCAGTTGCATAAGATCGCCAGCAAGGGACATAGCCACAGATCACATGAAGGACCTCGCTAGACGTGAGCCGGGCTGGCACTCTATGTGCACAGAGGCTACGTCCCTTTTGGACTTGTCACGCTGGTTACCCTCAGCATGGTGTCAGATTGTCTCACAATTAACGTAGCCTCCTAACACCCCTGTGGGGTAGGAATTGGGAAGGATCACACACACACAAACCTCTGCCAATTTTACACAGTGGGTATTGAGGCTCAGCGATGTCAAGTGATGACCCCAAGGCCACAAAAAAACATAGCAGAGCCAGGAGTCGACTCCCACTTTAGTGCTTTAACCACATAGTCCTCCATCCTCTTGCTTCTCCCACTGGCACAATAGTTCCAGAGTCAAAGTCCTGCGGGCTGACAGTGCTCAGCTGTTTAACGCTAGGGACTCCTCGCTGGAGAGTCCCCTGCTGATCTCAAAGACAGCAGAAAATTTCAAGTTTGGGGCCAAAAATCAAACTGACATCGTTTGGCCGAAAACCAAAATGTTTCTGTTTTGAAATGGTGCTGCGGTGCCCCATGGGTATTGTTGTTTGGGTGCCTCATACTCCCATTCACCTCTACAGGCTGGTCTCCCATGATGCATCATCTCGCCTCTTGGTGAGGGACAGCAGTGCATCATGGGAGATGAAATCCAGCCAGGAAGCAAAGTTGATAGAGAATGGGAGTGTGAGGCACCTGAACTACAACTCCCATGAGGCTTGGGGGCAGCCTTTCAGAATTGAAATATTTTGGATTTCGGCCAAACTATTTTGGATTTTGATCTTGTGCCAAAAAACTCAACATTTTCCATGGGAAGAAAGAACGCTTTTTAGGATGTTGAAAACCCAATTTTCTGCCAAAAAGCTCAAAAAATTGTCACCCTTATCTTAACAGCTACAGCAGCACAAAGTAAAGTGGAGAGAACATTGGTTCCTCCAGGCAGACAGGACCCAAGCCCGCTGCGTTTCGGAGATCAGAGTTAATATCTTCAGCTATCTCCGGAAGGGAGTAGGAAAGCACAGCAGGGCCACAGCTGCAAGTGTACAGATACAGAGTCGAAGAAGCCACCGGAAGGAACTAAATTGCAGGGGCATAAAGGGGGATGGAGAATGAGGAATGTTGTTGATCCAATAGCTAAAACCAACCTCTGCTTCCAGCCGCTCTCCCTGTTCACCTGTCACTGGAAGGAAAAAAGTTGCACAAAATGGACATGAAATCTATATATTTTTTCCCATTTGCATCAACATTTTTCTTTGAACATATTTCAAGTTTTCATCAAAATAAACATAAAATGACCATTTTTTTTACAACCCCCCTTTTTTAAAACAAAACCTCCCCCCCCTCAGTGCAGATATCAGAGCTGTTATCACTCAGATATTGCAGAAAGAAAAAATCCAGTCAATTTGCAATTGGAGCACCAGCAGTAAACTCCATGTGCTAAGCCCAATGGCAGAAGAATTTCCACTTCGGTGCATTGTGCCAAGTATTTTCTCTCTCTCCCCCCCCCCCCCCGCACAGTTGTAGCAGTGGGGCACCCATTGAACCATCTGAAAATGCAATGTCACTGTTGAGGTTTCCAGATCATGTGCCGGCCAGTAGGGTCTTTCCTGGCCATATCAGATCAGTGGGAGAGGGGGTGGGACATGGTCTACACCGCACCGATGGAGGCATGTCTGTGTTCTACAATCAACCGAAAGGGTCATTAGCAGCACACACTCTTAGAGCAAAGGCATGAAGCAGACATTCTCCCCCCTTGAGAAGGGGACCGGGCTGCCCTCGTAAGTTACCTGTGCTTGGGACAGAGGTGTCACTGCTAGCCCCCTTTGATCTCCTGGCCCTAACAGCAGCATTTCCCTACCCTGCCAAGGTCACCAGGGGAAATCAGGCTCCCTATTGCTAATCAGGAGAGCACCGCACTTGCTTGGACTTGGGTCACATATCAGGGAACAAGAGCCGTGAGTAGCGAAGGGATCGGCCCTCCCAGACGCCTATAGCAATGCCCAGGCTCAGGTATATCAAGTGATTTATGCTACGAGCGATAAAGGGAGTGAGCCTGAAGCAGCCTGGGAAACGCACAGGTCTACAGGCCCCAGGGAGAAGATGCAGCAGCTCCCTCACAGGCAAAAGGATGGCCGTGCAGTTCTCAGGCAGGAAATTGAGGCAGAGAGCTGGGTTCTGTTCCAGACTCTGCCACATCCTGTTACTCTGAGCTAAATATAACTCTGACATCAGTGTTGGTGGGAAGCGGAAAGACACGACACTACACACACAGGCCACTGGTGGGTAGAAATCCCCCGTGTCTGGGAGCAGGTCACGTCCCAGCTGTGCCTCTGTTTCCCCAGCAGACAACAATCCCCTGACATCTTTAATATTGGTAAAGGGGCTTGAGATCCTTGGATGGAAGGTGCTGGAGAAGTCCAAAGACTATTACCCTCCTTAGCTCACTAAAGCTAAGACTGAACCCATTGACTGGACAGATTGGAAGAGGCATTCGTGCGTGTAATCACGGAGATCACCACCTGCCATCCAGAGAGTTTGGTGCATCTCGGAAGAAGCAGGAGCAGCTCAGATTAACACCAGACTTTGTTCTTTAGTCTCCCAGGAGACCTGTGAGATGCTCTACCACCCAGGTTCATTTACTGGGAGAAGGGTTCCCTGTGCCTGGAGTCTAAGCAGAGCCCACGGACTGAGTTGGCAAAGGGACTGGACCTCCTTCTCCCTGCCTGCACTGGGCTGAGGACCAGGGAGGTCTGTGCTCTGCCGAAAGGCGGCTTCAGGCCAGTATCCTGCGGCATCAACACTACGTTGGTCATATTGCAGCTGGAAGGGAAGCCACCAAAGGAGGCACATGGGGGGAGAAGAGAGGGACCAGCTTTGTAAAAATCCTAAGAGCAAAGCCTCAGACAAAGACTCCCGCAGCCCAGACATTCTAGAAAACAATGTTTATTAACGAGTCCTCCCATTTCGCTCCCACTGCCAGGCTGGGGCCGGGCTTTGATGCTTTACAAAGTTCAGTTCAATAGCACAGACGAAGGAGCTGTGCACAGGCAGCCGTTAACACCCACGCCAGAACTCGCTTTCAGGGAGTTTGTCCATCTTTGGAGGAGGCATAGGCAGTATTGTCACTGCTACTGCATGGCCCCAGTCCACACAACTTTGAGGCCAAAGCGATCAGAAAAAAAAATAGGGGCTCTGGGCCAATAACAATTTAAATGACAGTGTTGACAATGCTAGGACAAAGCATTTTATACAGCAGGCCTGTAGATTTATGCCATCCACAGCCCTGCTTCAGCTAGGCACAAGTCCACTCACATCAGTGGTATTAGGCCAATTTACAGCAGGGTTAAAATCTATCTCCACATCTTCAGTTCCCCATCGCTACCCAGCCCCTGCAAGCAGCAGCGAAGAGGAGAGATTGGCTGCCACTTGACTACACTGTGAAGGCTATTTTGCTAACATCCCTTCCTGCTAACGCAGGGCTGGGCTTGGTTTCAGACTCAGTGGAAAATCAGTGGCACTTGGAGATTTTCCAGAATCTTTCACAGTTTAACAAGAACAGATGCCCCCTTCCCTCCCCCAAGAAATTCTGTTTTGCCAAAAAAAAAAACCATTTTCCATCAGCAAAAATGTCTCCATAGAAAACGCTCATCCTGCTCTAGGGGTAACCGCGCACTCAAGCCATGAAGGGGACGTCGACACAGCAGCTGGGAGACAGAATACCCGGCTGGGACAGACGTCCGTGCATTAGCTCTACTCAAGCCACACCTAAAAATTGCAGGGTGGCCACAGGCGCACAGACTAGCCCCACGGGGGGTTGGGTGAGACTAGACACAGGCGGCTACCTCGAGCCACGGTGGACACAGTGCTATATTTAGGGGGGAGCTTACGCAGAGCTAACGTGTGTACATCTGCCCGCACTGGGAATTACACTTTCCAGCTGCTGTGAAGGCATATCCCTCCGTTCTGTGTCCCTAGCATAGCCTGCTGTTTCAGTGTCTTCTTCACTTCCTGTCTTAAACTGTAGAGGAGCGTTACTGTGTGTTGTTAAACAGTTGGTGCCTTCCACCCCAGAGGTGGCTGCCTTTCAGTTCCCCTAATTGAGAGAGGGGCTCTGAATTTCCCCATGTGCTTTCTGGCCCCCCCGGAGCCCAGTGATTCTCACTGCTGGATTGGTGGTGGTTGGAAAGCATTCAGTACTACAGCCACCATCTGCTCCGCTCCCCACATCACTGAACAATCCTTCCCACTGACGAAGACTCGAGATGATCCATCAGCGGCATTACCAACTGACCAGAGGGGGCGTTACAGAAAGTGGAGGGAGGAATAGCGTCGCATATCCAGGCTGAGAAAGGGGGACTGGACCCACCTTGCAGACTCCACCCCCAAACAGTAGCACATTCCATTAGCACCAGTCTGACAGGTTAGTCCCCTAGGATCTTTTTCCTGCTAATTCTGTTGTTGGCTTAGACAGGCGATTGGCCTCTCCCACTAATCCGCACCAACCTGAGATGAATCCTGGCAGGCTCCCTGCTATAAGCCTCTATGTACAGGATGTGGTTAATAAACAGTGTGCCAGGGAACTGGCATCAAAGGCCTGCAGAACTCTTGGCAGGCCCCAACTCAGCCTGGCCTTCCCCTGCCTTCCTATCAGTCTCCCCAGCTCCGCCACTTTGCTGTTTGATGTACTGATCCAGCAAAGCCGTGAGTTGCACAGAGCTGTGCTGCAGGAGAGCACACGCCTGGGACGCCAGGAGAGAAAGAGTGCCCACCACTTGCCCCTGGGTGATTTCCATAGTGGGCAGCTTGGAGTAGTTTATGACCCCCTGCTTGCTTAGGATGGTGTCGTCAATGCAGGCACCTGAAAGACAAGAGAGGAGCAGACACGGCTGAGTGCAAGATACTGGTTACGATGCAAAAGCAGGAAAGAGAGCCAGGGATCTTTTATTTTCAATAGGTGTGTTAGGGAGGTGCTTGGTTATGGGAGTTTAATGCTGCTGGATTTACAGCCCTGGAGAGCATGTTGCCTTCTTTGCAGAGGGGGAAGGAAAAAGGTTATATGCTTTGCTTGAGATCAGGCAACAAATCAGTGGCATAGTCAGGAAAAGAACCCAGGAGTTCCTGGCTCCTAGCCCTACACTCAGTTCAGTAGACAGGACCTAGAAAGGAACAGGTAGCAGCAGCGTGAGCGTCCCTGTCAAAGTGACTCAGACCTGACTTGAAGGGGCCACTTCAAGGGGAGCGTGATCCTGGTCTCTAACTCTGCCAACAAGGTGGGGGAGAAGGGGCTTGCTAATGTGAGGTGAGCACCTGCACTCAGACCAATTCATCCCCCTAGCAGTCATGAGGTGGTCAGGGCTTTGGTTGGCTTCCATCCTGGACTGAATTTCAATCCGTGATCTAAAGAGCTCCAGCCTCTTCAGCCGTCCAGTAAACAGCCCCACATGCCCAGCTAAGTGTCGCTGTTTGTGAGCCTGGTTCAAAGTTGTTCTCTTCTCCAGAGACCTCTTTGTACAGTCACTGGTCCATGAGACCCAAGGAGCAATTCCTCCAGCCTTCCAGGGAGCTGCACCAGCTGGGCTGCCACTGGACTGGGTTAACACAAATCCCTCTTGCACATGCTGGGCACTGAGGGCAACGCAGCTGTGCCAAAGATGCCAGGGCCAACTACCTAGAGACAAACGTTCCCCTCGCAGATGCATCCAGAGGTAGTGTGGGCCACAGGGCACCGAACTACCAGGCGGGACACAGGTTCTATTACCAGCCCTGGCAGAAGTATGGCATCACTCTGAGTAAACTGTTTTCCCTCGGTCTGTTTACTCCACCCACCCTTTCTCTTTTGATCATAAACTCTTTGAGGCAGGGGCTGCCTCTCACTAAGTGTATGTACAGCGCCTAGCGCGAAAGGGCCCTGACATCAGTTAGCGCCTTTAGACACCAGTGTAATATAAGTAACAAGATCTGATGCTCTCCAAGCAGGTTGATCCAACAGATTAGCCTGATTGAGGGAGAATCCTTACCTAGGAGGTTTATCTGTGGCACGTTCTTCAGTATTCGCAACATTTCCTTCACCTTGATTTCTGGGCTCACTAACATGAGATTGAAGCCCACAAAGAGAGGAAGGAGGTTCTTGTATTTGGATACTGACAGGTAGGGTCTCACAATCTGAAAGAGGGAGGCGAACAGTAAGTGAGGTAAGGGAGACAGAGAGAGAGAGATCACACTTAATTTATCACAAAAAGGCTGAAGCGGTCTTCAAGGTACCACAGGAACAGTCATTTCAGGAGCCCCATATTCAAATTAAGCCCTTTATCTGCCCAGATGAGAACAGACCTGGGCCCTTCCCGAGATCTGAGACCAGCAGATTCCAGACACCCTCTAACCAGAATTTTCAGCACAAAACCACCTTGAAATTGGATTCATTTAGCCTAAGTGGCCAGCATCATCAGTTCCCCCGTAGCCAGATGTTTTTCTGACATTCCCTCTGCAGTGCTCACAGGCCCTTACATGGCAGTGTGTTTAAAACGCCCGGTGCTCCAGAAAGAGGCAGAGGAGGGAAAGCTTACATCCTCCAGTAAGTGAATGATGAGATCGTGTGCTGACGGCTGCTTAGAAGCCTCACCTAGCGCTGAAATGCAGAAGCCCGTTTAGTGGGGAAGGCCAGAATGAACATGTTATACTTGTGTGCAGTGCACTTCACTTGAAAACAACTGCATTCTGAAGCAGGTGGGAATCAGTCCGAAGCCCTCCGTGGTTTGGGACCCAGCTGCCCCAGATCTCACTCCCTATGAAACATCAAGAGAGCCAAGCTAGATGTTGAGCTGTGGGCAAGGCATTCTGGTGCAAGGTCCCTGGCTGCGGAACATGCTCCCTCTAGTGGTGCGCCAGAGCACACCGATCTTCAGGACAATGCAAGGTTCATCTTTTTTGGCCAACCATTCGTTTGCCCTAGAAGCCAACCTCCACAATCTTAGCCCATCTGGTGCTTTGTGTAGATGGCACTTAACTCCAGATGAGGCTCTTTTTTTTAATATATGTAACAAACCCAGATACCACAACAAAGGGCGCACAATAACCTTCACCCCCCCCCCTTTCTTTTGGCAGTCTTGGGCACAATCACACACTGGCTTTGCTACACCCCCTTAAGAACTAAACCTCGCTCCAATAGGAGCAGCCTGCCGCGTTGGATTTAGCTGCCAGGCAGCTTCGACTGTACCTCATTAGGGAAGAACTTGACTTGGATGTTGTGCTTCCTGAGGCGGTGTTTCATGAGCAGCATTTCCTCGCTGGGCGTAAAGTTGTGCTGACACACGGCAATCATTTTACTCTCCCGGAACGTCTCCACCACTTGCCAGCGTAACAGCTTTGCATAGCCATTCTCCTGGGAGAGGGAGAGACGTATTTTTTTTTTTTTTTTTTTTTTTTTTTTACACACAACTGTCAAAGCCTAGATCTGGGGGGGAACCTGGGTGCCAACCTGAAGCCTGCGCAGAGAGCAGTTAAGCAGAAGAACTCTGCCTTTATAAAGCTCCAGTCACCCAAGAACCTCAAAGGGCTTCACAGAGGTGGGCTCCATCCCCAGTTTACAGATGGGAGAACTGAGAGACAGAGATTCAGTGACTGGCCCATGATCACACACAGGGTGAGTGGCAGGGCCAGGAATAGAACCAAGGAATCCTGACTCCCTGTTCCCCGTTTTAGTTACTAGCCCAGAGTACCATCTGAACTAGGGGTCCGATCCCGCACCCACTGACATTAACAGGCCGTTGACTTAGCGAAGAGCTGGATTGGGTCCTTCACAAATGAAGAGCCAAGACGGGAAAGAGCAGAATACGAAGGTTGAAGAGGCCAGCTCCGGAGAGCCGGCACGGGCATAACGCCTCATCTGAGAGATGCCAAACATCTCCAGCTCATACATGCTTCAGCAGCCGTGATTGGGATGCCCAGCATCACTGATGAATCAGGCACGCAGTGAACAGAAGGGCCGATCAGACCTTAAAGCCGAAGGGATGTAGAAATGCTGAGAAATTCAGGAGACAGGGCTCACTCAAAGCCTGTATCACTCAAGATGCTGATAGGGAAAAAAAACAACAGAGCAACAAAAGAGAAGTCCAGACCCAACAGCAGCAAGGATAAGAAAGGGAATACCAACTATAACCCGAGAAGGTTTCCTAGAGTCACGAATCCCCAGCGAATAATCAGAGCCCGTAAGGGCGTGTCTACCCTGCATCTGGGAACAAGCCTCCCAGCCCGGGTCCAGAGACTTGGGTTAGCCGGGCTCAAGCTAGGACGCTAACAATAGCTATGTAGGCTGGAGCTTGGGGTCTCAAGCCTGGGGGCACTGTGGGCTCGAAACGCAATATCAAAGCATCATCAACGCAGCTATTTTTAGCACGCAAGGGTGAGCCCAACTAACAAGCGTCTCAGCGTGGGCTGGGAGCCTTACCTCCTTGACTGCTTTGATGTAGGGAGTGATGCACTTCTCCGGGACGGCCGGTTTGGGAGCGATGTACTCCGTCACCGCCATCAGTTTCTGCCGCTCAAAGTGCATCGCCTTCCAGTGCCGAGTGACTGACTTGGCATGGCGGACGATCTGCAGGGTAGGCAGCCAGCCTGGTGCAGGAAAGAAAAAAGAACGATGTAGTTTAAGCGCACCTGAGCCCCGAGGCCTTTGACCCCGAGTTGGACCGCGACCTGGGATGTTTCACAGAAACCCCCCATGAGGGATAAGTTCAGCCTGGCCCTGCCACTGTAGGCTGCAGAGGCGTTTCAGTAACTGACCAGCCCAAGATGCAAAGTTCTGACCCGGATGTGAAATGTGGGGGCAGGGGGGGGCGCAGGGGTCACGTGTGGGTCTGAAGATCAGGCCCCACTGCAGCAATAACTGTGACATGCCACGTTTGGTGTGTTTGGATTTACAGGGGGGAGGGGAAAGGAAGGAGGAGCGG